TTTTTTTTCTTTTTTTTCTTTTTTTACAGAGCACAGCCTTTTCCATGTGGCAGGCCTAGTCCAGAAAGTCACGGTGCTGAGGTGGAACAATTTGCCTGTGAAACATAGTAGTGGTTTAGAGAGAGAGAGAGAGAGAGAGAGAGAGAATCCTCTGGACATTGATCACGTATGGTTAATAAGGGGTGTTATTTTCGGCGAACTTTGCACCGAAACTGTCACATTGTGCTTTAGGGTACATCATGTGTCGATGTTTGGATCAATAATGAAAAAGTTGGCATTTTGTTGAATTCGTTGGACGCTTCATTTTAACTCGAACAGTGTTTTTGTGTTAGGGTTTTTTTAATGTAAAAAAAAAAAAAAATCTTTAAAAAAGTAAAACAAAAGTTTGTTTTTTGTTTTGTTGTTCTTGTTTCGTTTTCTTTGGCCTGTTTCTGTTTTTTTATGTTTGCACTATGGGCCCATGTCATTTGTTTTTGAAATTTCCGATGAATTTCGTGCCGAAATTGCTGGCGAAAACCGTGAATATTTGCCCCCCCGATCCATCTCTTGGGGGGGGGGGGGGGGGGGCGCAGCATTAGTGCATCATAAAGGGGTGTGATGGAGTCATTCCTCTGGCATACAGCTAAGGGTGCATTCACACCACCAGCTGGGCTTTTCGGAGTTAATGCATTCATATCGGTGGCCAGAAATATATGAGAGTCGTAGAGGTGCTCAAGCATCACAATGAGTGATTGGTCCCTACGAGCTGACGTAGCAAAGGCAGGTTTGCCACCATACTCGACAACACCCATAACTTCACGCCATGCCAAGCACTTTCTTTATTTTCGATTTTCTATTTTCTATTTTCTACTATTTTCTATTTTCTATTTTTTCTGCCGAATACTGTGTACCTTCAGAGGCCCGTTCCTCTAGCAAATAGGATTGGGTTAAGGCCCTGAATTTGGATATGTTTTAAGCGTATGTGCACAAATGCCGATCAATGGTCCTGCACTTCTCCACAAACACGTCCACATTCCGGCATGACACCCAACCCTCCTCGGTTGTGGGACTGCGCCCTGGTAGTCCTGATTCTTTTGCATGTGCCTGCTGCTTCAAATTCTGAACTCCATGTATTTATATTTATATCTATTCTGAAATCATTCACGTATTTCTTTATGTATCAAGTGCACCCCTGCAACTGCAAGCAGCATTTGCGAAATGGTCCTTCCTGACATCTGTTAAACAACAGCCCCCCTTACCCTTCCCAGTGTAGTCCTAAATGGGAATATAAGTTTATAGTATAACCTATACCGCATTCCTCCGGCGCTGGCCGGCCGACTGTTGGGCCGTCATCACCGGTCGGTCATCATCGCTAAATTTCATCGGCAGACTTGGTTGCATTACTGACCTCCGAAGCTCGCAGGGCCTCGCTCGCGGTGGGTGTACTATGGTATGGGAAAGGTGGTGGTGGTGGTTTAAAATGGAACGATACAGAGAAGATAAAAAAAACATATGGGACATGTTAACCCAATCCGCTCAAGGGGAAAAAAAAGGGAAAAAAAAATGTTGTATGTACTATGTACTATGTACGCTAAAAGCCTAAAATAATGTACCACAGGTGCGTTTGGTGGGGAGGTAACCTGTGGTGGTACATACACTCGCTGCGCCAAAGGCAAGGTCAAGAAAGGGCATTGTCGTTGTGGCTGCCTCCACAAGACAAGGGCCACCGGGCACGAAAGGGGAAAATAACCAACAAGGACCATCAAGACGAAGAAGAGCAGTTGGCATGAAGAGATCGCACAAACGATACGCAGGAAACAAATAAATCGCGACTTTGATGGTACAACAACAACACATCGATGTGTTCAATCCATCCATTGGCAAGCAGAAGTGGAGCGTCTGCGCACCCATGCGCGTGTGTGATGATCTGCTCCAAACAACCACCGACCGACTGTTTAGCACTTGGTAGAGGTGCTCGTTTAGATACATACAGAAGCAAGAAGAAAATACACAAGTACAGACTCCTGATGACTCGGTCAAACTCCGACAAAACAGTCTTTCACAGCTATGTGTTTGTTGTCCTCTTGTCCCTCTCTACCTACGGATTACGGGGCAGTTTTTGTTTGACAATAATCTATATTAGTATATTGTCACTTATCTATGAACTAGAAGAGTGCGCATCACCTCAGTGAACGGGTTTTCTAACTTGAGCGCTCCGAAGAAGGATGACTATAGCCATAGCATCCAGCATAACCAAACAATGACTATAGCTATGACAACCACCATAACCAAAGACTATAGTTATAACATCCAGCATAACCAAAGAATGACTATACTATTAGCTAGAACATCCACTATAACCATTAACCAACCATGAGCAGAATGGCACATCGTTGATGCATGTTGCCTTCTTCACTATCAGCCTTACTTGCAGAGCAAGAGTCTACAGGAGAAGAAGATTCAGAAGAACAAGTCTTAGACATGCAAAGAAGGGGAGGTTTCCAGTTTTAAAATTTTACATGCACATTGGACATCAAAGACAGTGGCAACCAGGTCACAAGAGAACTTTGAGGATGGCGTTTGCCCTTCGACAGCTTGCTGCTTTTCAAGCAACCGTTTCGGTTTTTTAGGGTGTTGGGCTTTTCTTCGGAGTGAAAGCGGAATACCAACTTGGACAAGAATAAGGGGTCTAAAAGGGCTAATTGCCATCCAGAAAAATCTATCGTTTTTTTTTTTTTTTTTTTTTTTTTTTTTTTTTTTTTTTTGGGGATAATTTGCAAAATACCCCAGTAATTTGAGATATATGCCAAAATGCCACTGAAGGATGTGGGTAGAGCGGAATGCCCCTCTGACAAATTTTATTTTTTGTGAAATACCCCTTGCATCGCATCTTTGCAATATACACTTACCGGGTGCTGTAACTTACCAAAATGCCCCAGTACTTGCCAACTTTTCCTAGGCGCAATTGCAAAACCCCGAGGCTCAAACAGGGAGATCGGAGGTCCAGATTGGAAATTTGCACACCCGTCTGACAGGGGCATAACACAATTATTTCGGCCCAAAAGGGCATTCCGCTCTACCCACGTCTTTCAGGGGCATTTTGGCATATGTCTCAACTTATGGGGGTAGTTGGCAAATTATCCCTTTTTTTAAATAGATTTGGACCATTTCTCGATTTATGTGTGTCATGATGTCATCCTTGATTGCCCAGGGGCCATGCTAATCTTCTTTCTCTCTGTATCGTTCCAATTTCAACAGATGTACCGGAGGACCCAGCAATACCTGTCTAATATCTGTCTGTCCCAAGAAGAAGAAGAAGAAGAAGAAGAAGAAGAAGAAGAAGAAGAAGAAGAAGATGACGACGAAGAAGAAGAATTGGGTGTCAAAGTATCTCTCTAACACCTGAAAAAGTTGGAGTACCAGTGAAAGTTTCACCCTAACACCCTGAAAAAAGTTGAAGGCTAAGATGGAGCAGTGGTAGTGAAGTGTCACTCACCTAGTTTTGCGATCATATTCGTTTGCCTTGGTGCAGGGAAAGGGAAAGGGAGAGCAACAAGTGCTGCTGAGACGCTCTGAGAAGAATCTAAGTAACAAGATCGGTTTCAATACGCTTGGCATGTGACCCGTATCCACACACGACTGCATTTGCTTAGTAAACTCCACTGATGTCAACAGTGGACGCAAATTTGCCTGCTCATCCGTCTCAAGGCTCCTCCAGTCAAGTTTGCAGCGCTAGCCAATTCTCACTTGCCAAGTTGCCGTCAAGTCCTCCCAGGATGACTGCCGCTTCTGGCGTTACACTTTACACTGCCTGGATGGCCCGAGCAGATAGGCCTATCTGCGGCGCATATTGACTTTCACAGTTTCACTGTCCTGTGTGGAGTTGGGGTGAGGTGGTGGAGAGAAGGGAGGTGTGTTAAGCCGAGCTGAGAGGAGGGTGAAGTGATCACAGGAAAAGCAGAGAGGTGGATAGGTGCGAGGAGAGGAGAGGTGAGGAGCCAGACCTCGAATAAGTTTCAATTTCTGGCAGCGGTTCCTGCCCGTACGCTGCTGCAGTCATGAAGACCTCTGTTTTGTTGCGCCTGTTCTTGATAGCGGCCGTGGCATCGAGTTGCGTCTTCTTCATGCGGATACATGTCAGCACCAGCGTCTATGGTTCAGACGGGCAAGTCGTGTCTCGAGTGCAAACCATTCTCCGTTACTTTGGGCCCGAAGCCCATGAACAGCAACTGCAGCCGGCGCATGAGCAGAACAGTCAGCATGGGTTCGTGGGTCTTTTCGAGAGACTGATGCCATTCAATACAGTGAATTCAAAGCTGCAGCATGAGACTCATGATGAGAGTGAAGGCGGGGAGAAGACGCAGGTAACGATAGTGACAACGACAGGTGCAGACAGGATGGCGCACAGTCGATCAGACGCTGTTCTCGGTGAAAAGTGCATTAATGTGCGTGCAATGTTGCTTATGGGAAGGATGGATAATGCGGAGCTGCTCAGAATGTATGATCGTCATATTTCTGGCGAGAAGGAAGTCAACGAGGCATGGGGTGGTCATGGAAGACCCGCCGCTGGTGGCCGATTCAAAAGAGGGAGGTTGCTGCTGGAGTCCCCAAGGCAGGAGGACTCAGGTACAGGAGACTATCCGGCTGGTGGAGGGAAGGGCATTCACCGTGAAGGCAAACCGAGCGGAAGACGCAGAAAGCTCCAGCAGGGCGCTTTCCTTGATGCAGGGTCTCTCTATATTAACGACACTATGTTGTTCCTTGCAAGGCGCGCAGTGGGCTTGCTTCCATCGGTGTATGACAGGGACCATTTCTTCTCCGGAGTGTGGAGCATCGTGGCGCAAGAGGAGGCAGATGGAAGCATCTCTTTGTACTACATAGAAAACAAGCTGATGTACGACACGACGAAATCCGACCAAATCACCTTCGAGTCGTCACCGATCGTGGCGACGTACAATATCCGTCAAGCGGTCTTTCAGCCAGTGCAGGGTAGTTCGTCCGTGGCAACCTCCCAATCACTGAAGACGGGCCAATGGATGTTGGTGGAGCCGGTGGGTGCAGCGGTTCCTGACATCACGACAAGCCCCGTCCTCAACACGGATGGCACAGCCAGCTTCAGGAGACTGGCATCTACAGGTAAGGGGAACAGCACTGTACTGCTAGTCCCAGTCTGGGGTACGTCGACAGTGGCTATGATTAACGCTGCCGATGGCAGCCGGAGCGTTCTCACTTCAGGTCTCAATGCGTCCGTCTCCGTTTCCTTTCCTCGAAACGCAAAGGGTGGGCAAAAGGTGTTTCTGACTGATCTTATGCCTCAGCCCCATGTCGTTTCAGTTCCTTATCCTCCCGGCGCGGAACCGGGTGGTAGCCCTGTGAGTGTGGTGGGTAATATTCCAAAGAACACATCAGGTCCTGCATTCGCGATCCTTGGGCCGTACAGTACGTCAGTGGACGGGGCACACCTCTTTATGGCGGATGTGGCCAACAATCAGATCCTACGGATGGACATAACGGCTGAAGGGGCCACGACTGTTGTCATTGCTGGCAGTGGCGAGCGGGGAATAATGGACGGCAAACCGGCCGAGGCACAGTTCGAAGGACCCTGGGATGTAGCACTGACTGCGGACGGGTGTAATCTTTTTGTCACAGACGGGAACAGCATCCGATATCTGCCTTTAAACTCCCCCTCTGGCGATCCCATCTCTGTGAAGACGGTGGCTCAGATTCTCCCAGGTGATCCTGTTCTCGGTGGAGCTCTTGGGCTTGCGCTTGCACTGAACGATAGTGTCCTGTATGTGGGCCGATCAGATGGTCAGATCCATGAGCTTGCCATCAACCAACAGCAGCTGTTCGATTGTGTGAATCATCTGAACAACACCGTAGGCACACTTCCAACAGGCCCCCAGGAGGTGGACGACGGAAGGCAAGCGTCACCGATCACGGTCAAAGCTTTTGGAATGCCCTCTACGCCAGCGTCCACTCCTTCTGCTCCACCCGCTGCTTCAGCCAATGGTAATGCTTCTGCTAATTCTTCTGCGGCAATTGCTCCTCCTCCTCCTCCTCCTCCCTCTGCTTCTTCTCCTTCTTCTCCTTCTTCTATGCCAGCTCCCCCTCCTCCTCCTCCTCCTCCTCCTCCTCCTCCTCCTCCTTCTTCTAAGCCAGCTCCTCTTCCCCCTCCTCCGTCTGCATCTTCTTCTTCTTCTCCTTCTTCTAAGTCAGCTCCTCCTCCCCCTTCTCCGTCTCCTTCTTCTGCTTCTTCTTCTTCTAAGCCAGCTCCCCCTCCCCCTCCTCCATCTGCTTCTTCCACTTCTTCTTCTGTCCCGACCCCTCCTCCTCCTCCTCCTCCTCCTCCTCCTCCTCCCTCTGCAACAGCTTCCTCTCCTTCTTCCTCTGCGAAACCTGCTGCAAAAGATGGAGCCCCAGCTTCTTCTGCTTCAACAACTTCCCTGTCTCCTGTTGCGGCCGCAAACTCACAGGGCTAAAGACAACGACAAATGGATTGCACGTCATAATATCGCTGTACCACGGATTTCATGGAGGGAGCTTCGATGAATAGGTTATTCAATCATCGATGAGAGTGGCGCCCATAACTCTTCTCATTGTCGATGCCTGATTCCAAAAGACGTCAGCGAACGGATTCCTGCAGTTGCCTCTGTTGCAGCTCGACTGCCAGCAAACTCCTTTGTCAACCGAGGCTGACGTGGAGATACTGAAAGCTAGTGAATTTTAGTCGACGTAGAGGACTGGATATTCTGCCCTCCCTTCATCCCTCGCACTGCCCTCAAAGCGTCGACGGAGCTAGTTAGCTTGCCAGCCGGATAGCCAGCTGGCCAGCTGATCCAGGAAGTACACCGATTGGCTATGTTGATTCAATAGTTTGACAGTCAGTTTCCAACCATAAGAAAGGCCGTCACAATCGGAAGGACGCACACGTGTCAACGTGGGCGTACAGCCAAATCTCTCTCTCTCTCTCTCTCTCTCTCTCTCTCTCTCTCTCTCTCTCTCTCTCTCTCTCTCTCTCTCTCTCTCTCAAGACGCACTTGCACACATGGTTCCTCTGTGTGTGTGCGTGTGACACGCGCACACATGTCACACATCTTACGGATGCAAAACACACCGAAAGCAGGGGTGATTGACCTTTTGGGTTAGCGACTGTACTGTTCAGCAGAGACGTGAGAGATACACACACTTTGGCTGATAGGAGAATCACATAAGCTAACGTGATGCTGTAGATAGAAGAAGCCTAGAGAACGGTGTAGATACTAGATAGAAGAAAGAACCATGACATCTGTCCACCCCTCTTGCCAGGCGCTTGGCAGTTAATGCCCTCCTGACATATGAATGTATGCCTTCTTGTATGTGCACAATATGTCAGTCTTCTTATCTGTACATTCTATGAAACAAAGTCTATATACATATACGGCTCCTCACCGATAGATGATTCCGTTCTGAAGGTAGGGCCATGCATGCCTTCCATCTACCCATCCATGGATAGATAGATCACAGATGGATGTTTAATATCCATACACATACGCGAGTGTCTCTGTGTTCCTTTGACACACACAGACATAAACATGTATACATGAAGAGAGTGACACACGTGTGTTGGTTCAACGAGGACAGCGTCACAGCGGTCCTGCTGGGGATGCGTTCCCTGGAAAAGTAGCCAGCACTTCTCCAGCGTCAGCGAAAAGAAAGAGGGATGGTTTTGCTGCAGCCGGGCACGAGTGCAACAGAGCAAGCAGGTACATAAATAGATCATGTGATATAGAGATGCAACAGACCTGGTGACATGCAGGGAGGGAGATGACACAAGGCGAGGGCGCCAAAAAATATCACACGATGCATGAGTGATGGTTTCGCTGCCGCCGGCACTGGTGGAATAAAAGGTACCCGAATCACCGATACATAAACAGATCATATGAGATCAGTCAGATATGGAACAGACCAGGTGGTGTACAGGATGGGAGATAAACAAGCGTAGAGGGCATCGAATATGACATGATGCCAGATGACCAAGCAGATTGAAGTGCATACTAGATGTGAGACGAATGAGAGAAGATGACAGCAGGTAAGATATCCTCCGTCTTGTCTTTGTTCGATGGGTCCAAATTACAAAGCCGCTAACAAAATCTAAATTACATCGGAGAGTCCTGCACTTCGCCTTTGTTATAATTTGGGATTTTGATAGCGAAAGGATGCAGTTAAGAGTGGTTGCTTGTTCTCTCTGCCGGTGTGTGCTCCTCGATCATTTTCCTGTTTTGGAAATAATAACTGAAGCGTTGCTTCAGAATTGGTAATGCACCTGGACATTGGTACTGTCGAGATTCAATTGCCTCTGCGGTTCGGTTAGCGACGGCAGTGGGGCTGCCACTTGCCCGGCGTTCTCCATGTGTGGGTGTGGAATTGTCGACAACACAAAATGCTTTCGGCATGCACTCCGAAAGACGAGGACACGTCTTCAGGAGGCAAGGTTCAGTGGTAGCCAATCGACAGCCAGGGGGCTCCCTCACTCTTGTGGTATCGCGGATGACCTAATGATGAGACAGCGCTGGTTATATTGTAGACAGTGATGTTTGTGACTCGAGGGCAGAAAGCACTGAAGAGAGAGAGAGAGAGAGAGAGAGAGAGAGAGAGAGAGAGAGAGAGAGAGAGAGAGAGAGAGAGAGAGAGAGAGAGAGAGAGAGAGCACGGGTTTCTGGCAATCACAAGCGTCATGAACTGTCCCTTTCCTGAGGATTGCCTTCATGGTGGTCCTCCTCGCATGGACTTCATCAAGGAGACGGAGCACCTACCTGTTCAAGATTGCATCCTGAGGTTCATTGGACGGGTTTCTGGAAGTCGGAAGGGCAGAAGCATTGAGGAGAGAGAGAGAGAGAGAGAGAGAGAGAGAGAGAGAGAGAGAGAGAG